TTCCCACACTGGACAAGACGGGAATTGCGTCCCCTCTCCCAGCCAGAGAGCGGGTTGCAGGCAGTAAGTAACAAGGCTGGAGGCACAGGAAGCAGTAGGAACAGAGAGTTGGGCAGGGTGGGCAGCCAGGCAGAGCTGAACAGGAAGCATATGGGAGGGAAGAATTGGGCACAGCTGGGGGCACTCTGGGGGATTGACAGTATCTCAGATACGGGAATGGGGGAGCCAAGGAAGGATTGTAAGGTCTTAGTCATCCTAGGAGGTCAAAACAAGGAAGAATCTTCAAAATTACCTAAACCAAATTCTCAGTGGGACAGATAGGGATACTGAGGCTCGGAGTGGGAGGCCTCCTCTGGGAACAGAGCCAGTCATTGCTCCTCCTCCCACTTCCCCAGACATCAGTGGCTTCTGTTGCCATGGGGATGTCCCTGGCTCAGAGGGTGTCAGTGGCTCCCCTACCCCCTCCCTCCTTCCCTAGCAACAGGCCACCTCCTCTTGCTCTTATCATTGCATGCCTAGCAACCTCAGCTGGTCCCCAGGGTCATGAAGTCCCTTCCAGTCTGACCTCGTACAACCATGACTGCCTCTGGGACAGCTGTGACTCCCTTGTCTTCTGCTGATAGTAACAATTCAGCCTCTTCCGACGGCCTGTTTTTAAGTTCTACCCTGTCCACATTTTGCAGCATGACTCTAAATCATACAGCTACAAGTCAGTTTAAGAGAGACTGGAGCACAACTGGTTGAGTCGCTACTTGATGTTGAACACAGCTTTACTTCAACTTCTCCCAACTCAGAGAAGTCAGAACCATTGCTTCCATTTTATAAAAGAGAAACAAAGGACCAGAGAATTTAAGTGGTGATGGCAAAAGTCAGACAGCTAGGAAGCAGGCTGTGTTGACAAGCTTTGTGATCTTTAGCTATGGCTAGTCTTACTATGGACTTCGGTTCAGGTACCCTTAGGGCTGACAAATTCTGAAGGATATACAGGAAACCCAGACATCTATCTTTGCCCCTTGCCCCATCACCAGCTGTTCAGCTTTAATTATACTCTTGCATTCAATACTGAGGGGTCGGTCCTAAAGCCTGGGCCCTAACATGGGTGGTCTGCAGTCCATGTATTCTACTCACGCCTTGCTATTCAGTTTTCACACTACCTGAGGCCTAGTCTTCTTCTTGGCATTTCTTCTACTCACCTAACTCTTTTCCAGCCACACAAGTACCCAGGTATGCACACACTCATGAATGCAGCTGCTTCCTGGATGGGGAAATTGGAGTTTGACAATATCCAAACAGATTTGCCCAGTCAAATTACTGGAAAGCAACATAGCCCAAAACGGAGCCCTTAAACTTGGATCCAAAAATTTCTACTGTCTTTTGTTTTTAATGCCACAAAGTCTACTTTCCTTCTTTCCTGGTCACTCAGGTGTGTATAACCTGCAGCCCATAGGCTGCCTACACCCCAGGATAGCTATAAATGGTGCCAACACAAAATTATGGACTTACTTAAAACAGAAGATTGGTTGTGCATGTGTTTGTAGATGATATGTGTGCATATGGGTACACAAGTGATGGAGGAAGGTCATTGGCTAATAAAGGCACTGCCCTGGCCCATTTTATTGGTTAGAGGATAGGTGGGAGGAGAAAACAGGACAGAACACTGGGAGGAAGAGGAAGTGAGGTCAGAGACTCCACAGCTCTGCTCTCCGGAGCAGACGCCTCAGGAGAGACGCCATGCCCTGCTCCCGGGATGAAGCTCCGACCCAGGATGGACTAGGCTGGAATCTCCCCGGTAAGCGCACCTTGGGGTGCTACATACAGATGATTAGAGGTGGGCTAAATTAATATGTGAGAATTAGCCTAGAAGAGAATGGGCCAGGCAGTGTTTGGAGGAATACAGTGTCCGTGTAATTATTTCGGGGCATAAGCTAGCCATGTGGGCGGCCGGGTGTGGGGGACGCAGCCCTGCCGCCCCATATTACTACACACAAGGACGTGTATGTGTGTCTCTCTGTGTGTGTGAAGGCCAGAGGCAGGTAACAGATGTCTTTTTCAATTGCTCTTCTCGATTTTGAGAAAGGGCCTCTCACTGATTTGTTAGGATGACTGGCCAGCAAGCTCCAGGGATCTGTCTCCCTAGCACTGTGCTTACCAGACCACGCCATCACGCTCAGTTTTTTATATGGCTTCTAGGTATCTGCCTGAGGCCCTCACGCTTACATAGCATGCACTTAAGCAAATGTGCCATCTCCCCAGCTGCTATTATGAGATTTTTTGCATTGTTTTGTAGACATCAGTTTACACAGTTCTCGTGTGCGAACTTTGTAGATGACAGCGTCATATCATAAAGTCACAATGCTGGACGTGCCTGAAGAGATCTGTGATGCATTCTTGACCCAATGAGGGGTCTGACCTCTAGAAGTTGTTCTTTCCTGCCGACATCTGTTTTAGTCCAACTGACTGGACCATGGCTTTAAACACGCCCCTTGCTTTCCTACTCATGCTGATTCTATACCCAGGGACTCTCCGTATGTGAAATCAGTCCTGGGACTCTCCGTATGTGAAATCAGTCCTGTGCAGCCCTGCCTGCTTCGACATCGCCTGCTCCAAGAAACACTCCCTAATTGTAGTGAACTTGAGAAGTTATGTGTGGGGTCTGAGAGTATCCTCAGAGAGCCCCATCCAACTATGGTTCCACAAGACCTTGCTGTATATGTGCTATTGCTATAGACTCTTTCGCTGCCCTGTAGCGACTACTATAGTCTGATCTACCTGCTAATTCCTCAACACTTCTATAGCCTCCTTGACTATGAACCCAGCATACATGCCAGGAAGCAGATGTGAGTAAAATCAACACCAGCTTCAGAATCAGAGAGTCCAGGATATGAATCAGAGAAATTCCACCCTATGCCATTGATCTTCTCTCCCTGGGTGAGGCACTGACTCTCTTGGGATCTCCTCTTCCTCGTTTATCTTTGTTTTGTTTTTGAGACAAGGTCTCACTATGTAGCCCTGCCTGTCCTAGAACTCTCTTGTAGACCAGGCTGGCCTCAAATTCATAGCAATTCAACTGTCTCTGCCTCCCAACTGCTGGGATTAAAGATGTGTACCACCACCGCCCAGCTCCTTTCCGTCATTTGTAAATCAGACATCATAATCCATGCCTAATGCAGCTGCTGTGAGTTTTAAAAGATCATATTTAGAGTGATTAGTATCTGAAGAATCAATGATATTTATTATGATTACTAATATTTGGATGGTGCTCATCATCTACAAAGCTGTCAAGAAGGCCTATAGTGATAGTATAGGCAGCAATCTGGGCTTGGGGCCAAGCAGACTGGAGTTTGAATCCTGGCTTGTTTCCTCAACTGGAAAACACAGATGATAAGGGCAGCGCAGGTTCCATCCACAGTGTCACTGGGTGGATCAAATAAAACAAATCCTTGACAAATTCTGTAAGTTATAAAGGCCCAACATATGCCATCATGTGAGTCATGATCATGGCTATTATTAAATACCATGAGCTAAAGGTTCCAGGAACTCCCCAGCTGGGAGGAGCTGACATCTAGAGATGTGCTCAGTCTGGTTCCTCAACAAGTTAGCAGGCATATCCACAGAGATGCCTATGGAAGGCCTGGGCCTGAGGTCATACCGGGTGCCTTTCTCCAAACTCACAAGAAGGACATTGAGATCCTATGTCCTTTCTTAGAGAAGTGCCCTCCTAAGTGCTAGAACAATCTGTGCCTGGCTATGCTCCTTGGCAGCATGCAAAGATTAATTGTGTGCCATCAAAGACCTTTTGCCCAGACACCAGGGCTGACTATATCCATCACATTCTCACTGATTCAGTGCTGGCCTCAGTATGTATCTCCCCCGCCACACACACAGCCTTCCTCTTGGATCTGGCCACCAATGTGGTCACTCCAGACCTCCTGCAAGAGATGCTAGGACAGACTTCAAAATGCACAGGCAACTTCTGAGCCAGCCCGCTAACCTCCATGACAGGAACTGTGCTGTTCCACATGGTTGGCCAAGCTGTGCCCCGCCCAAGGGTTTACAGTTGAGAGGCAGTGAGTGGGGGGTTGCGCCCCATTTGTGCTGTGTTCACCAACCCAGAAAGCCTGGTGAGTGAGGTTCACAAGAAAGGGCCCATTCTTCCAACGGATCCATTCAGAAGGAAGAAGAGGTCCTTAAGCGAACCATTTCTACTCATGACAAAAATGCCATGTTTACTAGTGCAGGCTGGAGAGCACTGGCTACCCCATTGTGTGCCTCTACTGCCTGGGCCCATCTCATTTCAAAATCCATATTTCCCAGTCCCGGTGCTAAGATTAGACCACACCCTGAACCCCCTCACCATCCCCACATTATCCCAGTTTTTGATACTTCTGCCTTAGTGGGGTTTCTGACAGGTGAGGGCCAGAGGAATGCACAAAGAGCTCTGGTCTTAGTCCTGCTTTACTTCTGCTCCCTCAGCTGGTAACCTTTAAACCTTACCAAAGCTTACAAACTTTAACCAAGCATGCAAGAAAAAAAACGTTTCCCTGTCATCATACATGTAATTCTAACATCTAGAACGTGTCATATCTAAAGTCAATCTAAGGCCCATTACTTGAGATTGGCAGAATTCAGGATAGAGAGGGAAAATAAGACCAGGCAAGCCCAGCATCCATTGATCCCTTCTTTCCTGGAAAAAGGAAATAGAGAACTTCCTGGGTCTGGAGCTGACCAAGATCAGCCTCTTACATGGCCCTGCACTGAACAGCAAAGCTCTCAAGTCCCCTGGACCACAAAGACTGAGTAACGGTCTTTAACACCATGTCTATGCCTGCCAAACATGTCCTCCCTGTCCTCCCATCCATTCCACACTGCCTCTAATACCAATGGGGAAAGAACCCTGCCATTGACCCCTGCCCATGGATCCCAAAGTAATAACCAGAAAACCCCTCCACCCCAAGCCCAGCCCCATCCCCCAAGTACTACTAAAGAAGCGAGGTACTGACCTGACTGTTCTGGAATTCTCACCATCAGATCTGCAAGAGAATCAGGAAATAAACAACAGTCAGTACAGGTGCACCACTCTTTCCCCTACCCTACCCTGAAGTCCAACATATGTCATGAAAGCACAGACATGTGTTTCATTCATGTACAGAGAACAGCAAGTGCAAAGGCCATGGCAGTGAGTGCTTAGTCAGTTGGAGCAACAGGGAGAAGGACTGGTTGGTTAGGTAAGCAAGGCAAGGGCCACAGGAGGGGTGTGAGATCAAGGAGGGAGCAGCATCTCCCTGTCTCTGAGAAGCAGCCAGAGACAGCCAGGTTCAGATATTGTCTCTGCTACTTACCATCCCTGTGAGCTAGGCAAGCTACTTCATCTAAGTCTGAGCCTCAGTTTCCCTCAGTCCCCCAATAATACAAGACTGATCCTCACAGAGCTGTCGGGATGAGTAAGCTCTTTAGAACCGAGCAGGCAAATGCCACATATTATTAATAAGATACAAGAGGCTTTGCCAACTGCCTAGTCCGACCTGCCTATTTTCCAGTTGAAGAGAATGAAGCTGAGCGGGTAAATGAGTCAGCTGCTGTGCTCCTTTCTACTATGCTGGGCTGCCTTTTTCATTATGCATGGCCTCAGATGCAAAAGAAGGGTGAAATTGAATGGAGTGAAGGCCAGCTCTGAGGAAAGCCAGGAAATGAGCAAAACCAGGACCATTTTCCTCCCCCTCACTCTTCTTTGGGAAGAATGTTCATTGTGCAGGCACACACGCCGGTACAAGCCGCCACATGGCTAGTATGTGTGCACATGCGTTTGTGTGGTGGAGGTAAGGACAGAGAAGCTGTTATACTGGGAGCAGAAGAGGAGAGAAAGGAGAATCAGGGACCCTGGAATTGGGAGAATATTGGGACGTAGTCTTCCTCCCTCTTCACCCCACACCTCTGGTCCTCTCCCAGGCTCAACTGAAAAAAGCACAGAGATGAACACATAAGACTCTGTCACCAGCTGAGAGAGCCAAGATACAATCTCAGGGTTTCTTTGGGGGGGGGGGGCTGTGATCTATATGTACATTGAGAGGATGATTTTAGAAGAGCATCTGTTGAGAGAGTGAGCATGCACACACACACACACACACACACACACACTTACTCCAGCAAGGATGGGCAAGTAAGCATCGAGGTGGTAAGTGAGTCTGACGGCTTCCTAGCCACATTATCCTGAAGAAGTCATCTTGCTATCTAGAACCTCAAAGTCTTCACTCAGTAAATGGGGCAGTGACAAGAAATCCTCCCTTAATGGAATGGCTTTGAGGCTCAAAGTGCCTGACACCTGGTGCCAATCTGTTGCCTTTTTGTCCCCTTAAAGGGATAGAAAAACCAAGGCCACAACACAACTTATTACAGTTATTCAAACTTTCCATCACACTATAGCAACAAGATGGCTTCTGGAATCCCAGCTCAGTTATTCTCAGGTATCAAGTCAAAGGAACCAAACTTGAATGACTCCCCAGCTGCCTACAGAATGGAAGCCAGAACCCTCAGCACCTCTAACACTAATCTCCTGCTCCAGGGAGGCTGGTCTACAAGCACACATTTATTCAGTTGGCTATACTGTAGGTTCTAACCTGGGAAGACAACTACCTACTCAAGGAGTTCAACTTCATCATTATCATCATGAGCCATCATTGAGCATCTACTATGTACCAATTTATAGTATCTCTGCTTCCAAAGCATTCCTCGGATGTGTCACTGTTCTTAAGATGGTAGTGGGGTTGGGGAAATGTTCAAGTCCTGAGGCAGAGTGTATTAGCCAATTCTCACATTAGACTGATTCTTCTTAGTTTGGGAGAACATAGCATCATAAGATCCACAGTGGGGGTGCATCCTACCTCACAGGCCTAGTATTAAGCATTTAGTATGTTGTATATGGGGAACAATAATGCTAGTCAATTTTTGTCAATCTGACACAAACCTAGGCATACTTGAAGAGAGAGAATCTTAATTGAGAAAATGCCTCCATAAAAATCGATCTATAGGCCAATAGGCATAGCTATTGGGGGTGATGCCACTCCTGGGCAGGTGGTCCTGGGATGTATAGGAAAGCAGGTTGAGCAAGGCAGGGGAAGGAAGCCAGAAAGCAGTGTTCCTTCATGGCCTCTGCTTCAGTTCCTGCCCTGACTTCCTTTAGTGATGGGCTGTAATGTAGAAGGGTAAACTGAAATAAACCATTTCCTCCCCCAAAGGTCATGGTGTTCTATCACACCAACAGAAACTCTAGGAGAACGATCATCAATATAGTGCTAGCTGGATGTTTTTCCTCACCTGGAAAATGATGGAGCTGTGTTAGTTGCGTTCTAAGCAGTCTTTAGGCTTTGAAATGTTTACTTAAATCCCAGTGCCTGGGAGGCAGAGGCAGGTGGATCTCTGAGTTTGAGGCCACCAGCCTGGTCTACAGAGTGAGTTCCAGACAATCAGGGCTACAAAGAGAAACCCTGTCTTAAAAAAAAACAAGCAAACAAACAAAAATCACAAAAATTACTTTCTTCAGAACTCCAAGGTTTATTGCTTTTATCAATTAGAGTAGGCTGTCCACATGTGGAACCAAAGACCCAGGAATCATACTCCACTACTTTTATTAAATTCAGTAGAAGTAAATGTCTGTCCATATGTCTGTCTGTCTATCTATCTATCTATCTGTATATATGTATGCATGTGTGTATACACACACCCATATCAGTCCATATGTTCATACCCTGTTTGCATGCCCCCCTTTCTCCTTAGGCTAACTTTGGGCCTAATGAGTAGACTTGGATAATAAGACTACAAGCCCTAAAAGTAAGCTTAAGAAATCTGGACAGGGAATTGAGTCCCAGATACCTAGAGTATGGTCTAGAAGGGATGGGGTCCTAATGAGCATGGCTTCTTGACCCCATATACACTTGCTTGGTAGGGAGGGGGTCTTTGAAGTTTAGGGCTCAGGCCTCTGTTTCTTGGTATAGTTCATGGTATTGGGATTTGTAATACACAGAGCCCAAGATCCTCTCCTCCTTTGGATTCCTTAGCTAGGTTCTGCTTTGGCAGTTTAGGGAGTAGGGATGCCCCAAGTGGCAAGGCCTTCAGGATGCAGCTAAACAAACAAACACATTGATTCTCAGGCTATCCATTGGGGCATTTCATTTGTAGCTCTTTTGGTATACTGATATTCACTTCTGAACAGCTTTTGTAAAAATTGTGCACTGAATGCATTCTTACATTAGAAAATCTAGGAACCCTTGGAAAAGGAAAGGAGAAAAAATGTGTGAAATTACATCACAGAGGCAGCAACCACTCTGAACAGTTTCTATTCCTCTCATTCTCTGCAGTTCTTTATGTAGCAGAAATGGTTTTGCACTGCATGATTTCCATGGCTTTTTACATTACATGTTTGCCCATGTAACTGCATATTCGTCATGACTGTTACTTTGATTTGTCAAGATGCAGTTAACCATCCTCTGAATGTAGCGAATGGATGTAGGTATATTTTCTCATTACTAAAATTGTGCTTGGTAGACTTTCTTTTCCACACAGCTTTAAAGCAGCACTCGACTTTTAGGAAACTAACCTTATAGGAGCAATTGCATCCAGCTTAGCTCTCTTTCTAGACTGTCACTCCCGCTAGCTAGGTCTGCTTTTATACTCATGCATTCATTAGCACACAGTCACTCTGTACTTCTATGAACCAGATCCTGAGCTAGGCCTATGGGAAGAAATGAGGCAGAGCTCCAGACCACCAGAAGATGATGTGTCAATCACGCTTTTCAAAAGGCAATTTGAGAACATTGTGATTATGGCTGAGAGGGAAGGAAGAAGCAGATATCAAGGGAAAACAGAGAAGGATCTCCTGAACCCACCATATGGACATGAACATAAACTCTTTGAGGATATGGTCATGGAAGACGAATAAATATGAGTTGGTTAGAATAAGAAAGGGAATGTTCACTTAAACACAACGAGTTGAATAAACTGATTTATCTGTTACTCCCCAAGTCCCATTAAAATGTAAGTAAATAAATTAAAAAAAGAAAAGAAAGATAAAGTCTGAGGTGTCAACCAGAAGTAACTATTCCACTTAGAAAACCCTTTCAGGGCTCACGATTTGGAGGTGCTGTACATCTCAGAAGGCAGAGTGAGGGATAAAGCTAAAAATAGTGATTCACAATGCTGTCCTCAATGCTGTCCTCAATGCTGTCCAGTCAGGGGCTCTCCACCTCCAGCGCCATCCCAGCAACGGGAAGCTTTGGATTTGAGAACACCAGGTGCAGTGGCAGACGGGGTAAAACAAAGCTAAAAGCAAAGGGAGCTTCCTTGGAAAATAGTGGGACCCTAACTTCCTTCTACTCTCCGACTTCCGACAGCAAGATCGAGTGTGCACGGCTTCTGTGCACCTGTCAAGTGTCATGGATGCTTTTCTTACTGCAAAGACACTTAAGTTAGGACTTCTGTTTTTACGGAGTATTTAGTTGTATTTTATGTGTATGAATGTTTTCTCTGCATGTAAGTGCACTGCGTTTGTGCTTGGAGCTAGCAGAGGCTAGAAGAGGAAGCTAGATCCCCTGGAACGGTAGTTGTGGGTGGTTATAAACTGCCTCGCAGGTGCTGGAAACTGAACTTGGGGCCTCTGAAAGACTAACAGGTGCTCTTAACTGCTGAGTCATCTCTCCAGTCCCCAGTTTAGGTATATTTTGCTTCATGTTAAATAAACCTTAATAGAATTCATTATTTCCAAAGGAAACAAAGTTCTAGGCAGTCAAAGCCTACACGATGATGCAAAGCTATGTGGGGGAGACCACCAACCTGGAAGGCAGATGGACAAAGAAAACAAACCAAAGAAGGAATTTGGAAGGAACAAAGACAATTGAAGAAATCTGGGAAGTGAAAAACAGTGAGAGCCAGAATAAAAATGTCAGTGCCATTAGAAAATAAAAAAGAGATATCTTAGGAAACAAAGTAACACAATAAAGAGGATGATGGAAGAGAAAAGATGAGAAAATTAGAGGATTAA